CATTTTCCAGCCTTCAAGGCTCACCTGCCAAGAGATGGCACTGCCCACAATGGGCTAGGTCATCCTACATCAATTAGAAATGAAGAAAATGCCCCACAGACACCCTCATAGGCCAATCTATGGAGGTAGTCTCTCATTTGAGATTCCTCCTGACTCTAGTTTGTGTGTGTGTGTGTGTGTGTGTGTGATACATTTTTTTCAGCATGCTTATATTTGAGTGCATCTACTACTGAAGCCAAGTGTGGGCTTTACTTCTGGTGTCATGCTGGCACTCAAGGAGTTTTAAGTTTTAGGGTATTTCAGATTTAGGGCTTTAAAATCAGGGATGTTCAAACTGCGAGACAATGTTTTTCCACGAAAAGTAATTTTTTCTTGGCTCATATTTGACATCTGGTATATAACTGTAATCCTTAGAACTTTCAACAGAAAATTTTAGCGGACAAACTAAAAAAAAAAAAAATGTACTAATAATCTTGTCTATGAGAACTCCACATGATTCACTTTTCCACTGGATGAACAGCAGTGACCTGAAGTGCAGAGTTCTAACATTAATCACATCAACTGCTTTTGCTTGTGAGGCCACGCTCCTTCACTGCAGCTCCTTATGAGGACTCAGGGGACACAGAGTGACTCAAAGGTTCTCACAGAATTCCTAAAGAAGCAACTGCACCAAATATTTCATTTTAAGAGATTTACAGGGACTTCCAGGTAACAACACACACAGTCTCTCCCTTAGACACGAACCTTACCTGCTGCCAATTCCCTGCTCCTCTGCCCTAGCATTCCAGAGCCCTGAGTTACTTCCAAGTCTCTTTGTATGTGCAACTCTGGGCACACAACGGCTCTTAAACATGCATTGTTAACTAAGACAAGCCCTAGAAGTGAAAGCTGGCCCATTTGTGTTTCCCAAATATGGTCGTGTCTACAGAACCCAAACAGAGCTGCCTGACTGTGGCATCCAGTGAATTTGGAGCTCTTCCCTTGGACAATCTAGAGAATTCAACACAGGGCAGATTCCCAAACATTAGATAGAAGCAAAGCATCATTGCAAAGATTTATAAATACAGGACCTTAAGAAAAGCAGCAAACCCATGACAAGACAACACAATCTTTCTGAAGGGGTCATTATACAATGTGAACCACTGAAAAATCACCAATGGAAGCATCTTTAACTCCCTGAAGAGTCAAGGCTGGGCCATGGGCCACACTCAGGTAAGCGAAACTAAACAGTGAGTACTGTGTGAGGCTGAAAAACAAACCAAAGAGTCTTTGAACAGGGGCCTGCTGGAGTTCATGGCTGAAGGGTGGGTCTCCCATGCAGCGGATCAGTGTGCTCTCACACACAGTCTCCCACAGTTCCCTGTCCGCTTTCCTCACAAGCTATGAAATCCCTGAGGCAACTTGATCACCATATCCTCTGTAACACACCACACCAGGCTCGGAATGAGAGAACACAGACCCCTTTCACTAGAAAATGTTGTGTCTTCTGCAAATACATACCCTAAATGCCTCAGTTCATACTACTGGCTTATTCAAAAATGGCTTGTTTTCCTTAAATTTTCAAATTTCACTGAAAGTATGCGAAAACACTGAAAACATCCTTTCCGAGAACACCTCTCTTCTCAGTGGTATTTGCTTAACACCTGAAGTAGAACATGTACACACAGGCCCCAAATCAATAACCCCAAACTTACACCATGAGGCCAAGGATCAGTAATGCCTAACTGTGGTAACCATGAGGCTACCCAACCTTGGCTGTGCACTCGGGATTACATTTACGACTTTTCTCTAATCCCTTCTCCTTTTTTATTAATGTTAGGCTTTAAAAAAAAAATTTTAACAATCAGATATCAAACCTACATCCAAGGCTCAGATAATATGGTTTTCTTTAGAAAGAAAACCTCCAAAACACTCAAGAGAGCACTAAGTTGATAGCAAATAATTAACCAAAGCATTTAGTTTATATCTAAGTTGCCTATCAAAACCAGATTTCCTGACATAGCATGGCATGTAATAGCATCAATACTTTAACATATGAAATTAATGTACATGTGCTTTTATACAACAACAAAAATGACACCTAGGCTGCAGGCAGAGTGACTCTAGCTTATTTGGTATCTGGGGCCACTCTTACTCCAGATTTGTGTACGCTTAGCAGTTGTTGGAAGCTGACCAGAGCCAGAAGAAACAGATTTGAACTAAATTTGGCCAGGACTGTTTAAATTAGGAAACCCCTTAATTTCTCTGCTTCGTTTTACTGTCTTACAAGAAGAGATTAATAATACCTAATTTAATAAGTTGCTTTTCTTCGGGTTAAATTTAAAAATATGTATTTCCATGTTAGCTGTGGGGTAACAGGAGACATATTCTAACAGAGAAGGGGCCAGGCTGGTCCTTCTAATCCTCTGTTTACCATTTAGACAGACAGCTGGTTACAAGCCCTCCTCCTGAGGTAGATGCTACTACTAGTACCTAGACCCAAAACCAGGCTTTACCAACTGCAGCAGGAATCAAGTACCAGGAATGGAGTCTGCCGCTTGGCCTTGCCGTGCAAAACCCTGGGTAACTGTCCTCTCTGAAGGGCAGATCTCAAGAAAGCAAACCATCAATAGATGGACGGAGCATGTATGTGAAGTCCCTGCACTCACGCTCACACTGGACAAACAGAGGAGCCATCTGCATTTCCCCAAAGCTGGCTGAGAACCAGCCACTTTTCATATGTCATTTCTGATCCTAAAACACCTACTCACAATGAAAAAAAAAAAAAAACCGAGCCTCAGGAATAGTCACATGACTTGCTGAAGAGTCAAGGCATTGGGTGTGGAAAGAAGGCTCAGCGATTAAGAGCACTTGCAGAGGACCTGAGTTCAATCCCAAACCCCCACATGCTGGCTCACAGCCACCCATGATTCCAGTTCTATGGGACCTAAAGCCCTCTCTAACTTCTTTGGGCACTAAGCATGTACATTGTATACATACATTCACATAAGCAAAGTATTCACACACACACACACAAAAAAAAAATTAGAAATATACAATAAAGTAAAAGTTAAAACTGTGTGTGCCTAAAGCAAAACATTCCTCCTCTACAAAAAGTGCTCAAAACACTTCAGGCATTTTATTCAACTGTGGCATTGAGCAACCAGTCATATCAACCAAGATGAAATATAGGGCCTGCCCTCAGACAGGAGATAGTATAGGTGGGAAAAAAGAAAAGACTTGATACAGCTCAGATTTCCACCCCCCAATATCTTCATCCCCTACACACACACACACACACACACACACACACACACACAAACACACACGAACGGTTACAACTGTCACTTAATAAGGTAGTATGCCCTGCCTTTTCCTAAAATGATTCACTCTATGAATTCTATAACAAGCCAAGAACCTAGTCCCCCTTATACATGCTACCTGTAAGTGTTGCCTGATTTGCTGATAAACTTGTCTTCTATGCCTTCTGGTCCTCACAAGTTGTTGTGATGGTACCTGAACCTGAGTTCCCACAGAGGTGTCTAATACAGCTCACCGAGCAGAACACAGAGAAGCGTCAGTACTGAAAACCATGAAGAAATAATGTCAGGCAGACATCACAAAACGGCTTTGAACACTAAGCAGGGACATTTTACCAGGCCACTAAACTCAAGATGAGTTCCACAGAACTTCTCTACCCCAAGACTCACCACTGATGAGAAGCATACAGAATGCACAGCAGTGAGGATGAAGGAGGCAGGAGGGCACACTGATGCCCACTGCTTTTCCTGAGGCATATATAAAAATTCCCAAGGGCACAGCATCCTCTGCCCAGGAGGGAAGCTCCCTGCAATTTGGCTTTAAAAGGCTGCATAGAAACCTCGATTACAGCAACCACAAGTGACAATTTCTACATTTGTCTTTTCTTGTTTGTTTGCAGCAAAAATGCCATTCAGAGAGAATTTGATCATCTAAGCATACTCCCTAAGTCTCATTCTGCTACTGCTGCCCATAGGGAGCCCCTCCCCCGTGCCCAATTGCTTTGATGGCTGACAAGAAAATTACAAGGAAATGAAAGGTGTTGACAATCCTGCAGAACTCAAAAAGGATAAGTAGAAAAACCACAAACAGAGCAAACTCACCAAAACAGAACAAACGCTGACAGAGTTAGAGACACTAGAGGATCTTTTTTAAGCTAGTAAATGTCAAAGAGATTGGCTCTTAACCCCAAATGATCCAGTCTTCACAACTCACACCTTATCCAAACATAAGAAATTGGACAAAACTGGGTGCGGTGGCACACATCTGTAACCCCAGTATTTGGAGAACAGAAATAGGAAAAATCAGAAGCACAAGGTCATTCCTAACTACATACCAAGTACAACTGCCAGCAGCCTGGGCCACATGTGACCCCACCAGTGTACAAGCATGAGGATCTGAGTCTGGATCCCCAGCAGGCACATAAAAGCCAGGTGTGCCCATGCATGCCTGCAACCCCAGGGCCACAGACATGAAGATCCCTGGTGCTTGCCATTTAATATGTCCAAATAGTGGGTGATGCTTTCTCAAAAGGTGAAAGATCCTTCCTCAAAAGCAAGGTGAAGATGGCCAGAGAAGGCTCAGTGCCTAAGGGCACTCGCTGCTCTTCCAGACAATCTGAGTTCAGTTTCAAACTCCACGTCATGTGGCTCACAACCTCACAACCGTCTGCAACTCCACCTCCTGGACATTTGACAACTCTGGTCTCCATGGGCACCTGAGGTCATGTACACATACTTACATACGTCAAACACACCTATACATAGTTTTAAAATAATAAATAAATTGTAAAAGAAATAAGGTGGAGAAAGAATAAAGACACCAGATGCCAGCCTCCAGCTTAGATACACACACACACACACACACACACACACACACACACACACAC